CCTAGTTTTGTGTGTAAAAACTCACACAGGGAGGTAGGTGCCCAGCGGGTGCGGGGTGACGCAATGGAGGCTTGAACAGCCATGTACCCACTGACGTTTGGCTTTCAGCTGTGATTCAGCCACTGTTGGTCAGGAACCATAGGACTGGAAAGCACTGCTTTTCAAATTAAAACTTATCAAAATGTTAGGGAACACCCAACCTCACGCCTCTCTTTTGACTTCCCTAACCAGGTGACCTTGAGTAAATGACCTCTGAAAGACTTTCTTACCTAAAATAGTAAATCAAGATATCTGCTTCACAGACATGTGAATTTTAAATGAGGCACTTGAGATGGAAAGCAATGTATGTGTGCATATACCCTTCCTGTTTCAGCCAGAGCCATGAGCTAAACTTAGTAACGAGGCTTGTCATAGCGATACTTGTAAGGTCCTGCAGTTTGATCTGTATAACCAGCTGCATGAGCGCAGAACAGAAGGGCAGCTTAGCAGCAACATATCTACGAAGATTAAGAGGATTTTGTCTCCTGCAAGTTTAGAATGAATCAATAACAGGGTGTGACTGCTAGTTATACCCACAACATTCAGCTAATACTGCTTATTTACCAGGAATGGAGTCTTCAATTCTGTTATTAATATCCATGGTAATGCTATGCATGTGGGTCTCCAAGAGTGGGCTTGAGGAATAGTACCTTGGTAACAGGGGCAGGGAGGGATGTCGGGGTGTCAGGGCTGCTGGTCCTGCTTGTCTCTGGGCCACCACTGCTGCCTGGACCATGCTGTCAGCATGGCGCTCGCTGCCCGTTCTCCAGTGTGGATCATCGGCCAGTGCAGAGGACAGCAGCCAGGATGGCGAGGGGAGCTGTGATGATACTTGGGTGGTACACGAAGAAAGGAAGCTGTCTAGCTGGGGTGGGGGGGAATTAGGTGGGATAGAGGTGTGAAGGTGGAAGGGTTGAAAATGCTGATGTGTGGGAAACGATTTGACTGTTCTGTCAAGGGACAAGATGGGAACCAGTGAAACAGAGTGACTGGAAAACATTTTGGGCCCAACCCAAAGCAGAATGGAAGTTGGCTGTGTTCTTGGAAGGCATAAAGTTTTTCAGTGGTGTGGAAACATTCAGTGATATTGCAGTGTTTTCGAAAATCTCATCCAAACCCGAGTTTATGAATTGGTGATGATTTTCTTTTGTTTGACTATTTTTTATTTCCTCAGCCTTTTATTTATTTTTTGCAACATTGTCAGAGTTCCTGTGGAGAATTAGAAACAGCATTAGTATCAGTGTAAATTTATTAGTTGAATGATAAGACTAACGTGAGATAATTGTTAGCATACTAAGACAAAATAGAAACAAAAGCCAAATTCTTGATAATCAGTAACAGTACTGCAGGAATTTGAGAAGGGGATGGCTGGAGATGTGATTAGGGAGTTTGGAGGGTTAATAAGATTTGTCTGGCAGAACCTGGGAGAGCAGAGACCGTAGGTGAAGAAGGCAAGGGACATAGAAGGCTTTTGAGCAAGAGCGGCATGGATAAATCTGTAATTAAGAAAGAGCCATCTGGCAATTTTGCAGAGGAGATGAAGATTTGAGAGCTATCTTTCTGTGAGAATCATTTAAACCTTGTGGGTGCATGAAATCTTTGAGGGAGAGGTTATAGCTGGAACACAGTGCACGTGGTCTTACCACCTGGTGGTTAAGAACACAGGTACATGTGATTTAAAACCAGCCCTCAGCTGACCTTTGTGAAGCTGTGCGAAGAAACCATAGCCTAGACGTTACTATAAATTGGATAGCGTTACTTGCCTCGTAGGATAATTATGAGGAGTAAATGAAATAAAGAATTATGTGATTACGTGCTCAATAAATGTTACCTAATATTCTTACTTACTGTGAAGCTGAGGTTCCCTAGGGCAGTGTTTCTGGAAATGTGGGCCTCAGACCAGCCCATTGGCCTCACCTGCAGGCTTGCTGCAGCTATAGATTCATCCCAACTCCCAGGTGTACAGACTGGCGACTCGAGGGGTGAGGCCTAGGAAGCAGTCTCTCCGGCTGTTTGCAGGGAAGTGTTTGCGACATCTCCTAAGGAACCCTGTAGTTGGCATGGAGGATTGGTGGACTGTCTCGGAAAGAAAGTTTTTCAAGGTGGGACTAAGCAACAGTGCCCCCTGCGGTGTGGACAATGAAGTATGGTGTAAACTGTAAGACTCGGTAATGTATTCTTTGCAGTGCCCCACTAGTAGCTCTTACACAGCAGTCAACAAATATTTGGGGTTTTTTGGGTGAGTGTGGTGGAGACTTCCCCACACAAGCCGTTCTTGGACACCAGCAGGTATCACGGGTTCAGCTCAGTTCAGCCCAGTGTGGACACCATCTACCAGAAGGTAGCGATGGCTCCACGGGCTAAGGGCTGGGTCTCCTAGGGCCCCCTCCGCCTCCACTTCAGACGCCAGTCTCCAGCCCCAGCTACTGCCTGCGCTCTGACCAACCTCGGCTCCCACGACCTCCTCCTCAGGTTCATTTAGTTTGCTGGAAGACTATGAACTCAGGAAACCCATTTACCCATGAGGTATTTTCAGGAACTGCCAGTTGGGAGATGCTTGGACAAGATATTATTATTATTATTATTATTATTATTATTATTCCACTCCTTCAGGAGTGCCATTTGCCCCAAATCTCCATGTGTCCACCCTCCTGGAATCTCTCAGAAGGGCCTCCTCTTGATTTTTAATGGGGGCCTCAGTACCCAGGCACATTTGATTAAATCATTGGCCATTGGTAATTGGGGGAGATCTGAAAGTTCTTAATGGGGGACGGGGGGGTGGGAGACCCATCTTAATCCCATGATTAATTCCCTGGTAGCCAGACCCCATCCTTAGGTACTTCCCCCCGAAGTCATCTCATTCACATAGCAAGAGACATGTCTTACCACTCTCAACTTAGGGAAACCCAAGGCTTTTGTGAGCCAGGAACCGTGGGTCCAGATCAGATATATATAAGAGATATATTTTGGTCATCTGAATCTTATAAATCACAGTATCACAATATTACTGAAGACAACTGACTTAGTAGCACCTTGGGGGTGGGATGAAGATTTCAGAGCATTTATGTATAATCTCCGTATATGTGTGATCAAAATAGCAAATGATGATAATACCATGGAACCACATTAGAAATTTGATATTGGACAAAATTCAACTCTTATGTTCTGCAGAGACTTCCGGACTGTCTGCTGTGATAGGGGCTGTGCTGTCCGCTCGAAATAGAAAAGAGCTCTTGTTTTCAGTGGCTTCCCAGATTGACACTTTGCAAAGGATTTGATGCTTTCTTTTTTGGTAACCTGTTCTGGTTACAGAGACTAAACACTGTACCTGGTCATTTTTTGACAGTGCCGGAAGTTAAGTGTGTGGCCGCCTCCCGGTCCAGGCAAGGCGTCATTGGAAACGCCTGTCTCGTTCCTGAAAGCATTCTGACCATTGATGTTTTTTGTTAATTATTTTATGACTTGGCCTCTACCATGATGATTTGACAAGATGATTTGAAATTTTTTGAAAGATAATTAATGTCCCTGTTGAACATCGGCCTCCCGGGTTTCCATCACGGACAGTCGTGCCGTTTGGTTTGTTTCCATTCCCACACCCGGCCCCAGTGTAAGTCCCAGACACAGAGCTTGAAGCAAACTGACTTCTGAGCTTCATCCATTTAGTCTGTTCACTGCCCATCATGTGCAGGACAGTGTGATAATAATGAGGAAACAGTGTCTACAAAACCTGTCTTGTTGGAGAGCCAGAACGGACAGCCCAAGGCTGAGTCTGTTAAGTCTGCAGGAGCGTCCCAGGTCACAGTCATGTACCTGCCCAGGCTTGGCTGGAGGTCAGCCAAGTGTTCAGGTGATCCCTAGTGTATACCAGAGATAAGATTGGTGAATGCGTCCCTCCTGTAAGTCATCCCTCTTTTACAGTGAGAGAAAAAGTGAGTAATTTAGTGTGGCTGCTTCGGAAGCTGTTTTTAAAACCTTAAGCTTGCTTGGAAATAGATGAGAGTATTTGAGAGTGGAAGTAGAATACAAGAATTATATTTTGATCTATTTGAGATCTCCTACTTTGAATCATAGAGAGACTTCCAGAAAATCCAACTGGAGGTCACTCCAAAGACAACAGTGCTGGACCAACCCAAACAAACATTCCTTAAGTGTTGTAGCAGCTCCCGCCAGCGTCATGCCACCCGCTGCTTCTCTTTGCTTTTGGCTTTGGGGCTGAGCTGGGTGGGTAGTGAGTTCTGTTGATATTCTTGATCTTCTTTTACTTTCCAACACCCCCCAAAGAAAAGCAGCTGCAGCCTTAGTCAATAGGTCCACCAGATCTAGATTTGTGTCCCCAGCAGGTGGAGCGGCCATTGGTTTCCTTTCACTGAGTAAGCCATGGACACCAAGGAGGAGGTCTTAGAGCAGAAGTCTTCTTAAAAATATTTTCATTGTGAGCCTCCCTTGGTGGCGCAGGCGGTTGAGCGCCGCACTGTGAAGCTGTCTGCAGCCTCTGCAGTGCCGGTTCGATCCTGGCTGGCCAGCGAGGGTCCCACATGGCGCGCAGACCTCTCCTGTCTCCCCGCTGCTCCCCTCAGCAGTGTATTTCAGTTGGTCTGCCTGTTCTGTTCCCCACTCTGTCTCTGGTGAATCCTTTCACCCTCTCGCGCATCTGGCCTGTACCCTGGTTCTTATGTAAATGAATAAATAAATCTTTAAAAAAATTTTTTTTCATTGATCTGTAAAGTTCTTTCCGATAATCACAGTGATGGCACATAGACTGGGTATCAAAGACCTAATAGAAGTAAATTCATGGTTTTCCTAAAACTACTGACAAGTGCAGAAATTTCCCTGAGTCCATTTGCTACCCCAGGGATGTTGGTGTCCAGAAAACATTGGCCCCCATATGGAAAACAAAGTTACTTGTGTTTTAGTGATTGTTTTTTAATTCACCTCTTTCCCTTCCTTTCTGTCCTCTGCAGTGAACACCTACCTCTTCATGATGCAAGCACAGGGCATCCTAATCCGGGACAACATGAGGACAATAGGTGCTCAGGTGTACGAGCAGGTGGTTCGGAGTGCCTACGCCAAAAGGAACAGCAGCGTCAATGACTCAGGTATATTTTTAGTAAAGAGGTGGTCTGATTAGAATTTCTCCTCCCAGGAGTGGTAAATTTGGTTTGAGTAATTATTTTTGAGGGAAAAAAAGAGGGAAGGCTTGGCTAGTCTCACTACTGAAGTAGAAGCTCTGGCAAATCCAGTCCTTGTGTGTTTGCTAACAGTATATTATTTTCTTTTATATTATATATTTTTACATCATTTTTCATTTTTGCACAATGTGTGCATTTTCATCTTGGTTATATTCCCCATACAATTCCCACCCCCCTTATTTTAACCCTCACCCCTCCTTCCCTCCTGCTAACAGTATTTTAGGGTGACTAGCTGACTCCATTTCACTCCTCATACTTTTCAGGGAGGGGGAGTTTAGGAGTATTTTTCAAAACCTCTTTTTTTGGAGTAGTGAACCCCCTCAAAGCAGATTAAGCCTCTATTTGGGAACCAGCAAAAACAGGATCACCAAAAGCTGTTCTGGAAATAATTTGTATCCAACTGGATCAATGTGTTACTTTTATTTTATTTTATTTTATTTAAAGATTTATTTATTTATACAAGCACTGGGTACAGTCAGAAGCACGGGAGGGTGAGAGAATTCACCAGAGCCAGAGCGGGGAACAGAGCAGGCGGACTACTGATGAAATACACTGCTGAGGGGAGCAGCGGGCGGCAGGAGAGGTGTGTGCGCCGTGTGGGACCCTCGCCCAGCGGCCGGGGATTGAACCGGTGCTGCAGAGGCTGCGGGCAGCTTCGCAGCCCAGCACTCAACCGCTGCGCCACCGGAGAGGCCCTGTTACTTTTATTTTATGGGGCTTGTTTGCTGTTTTTTGAGTTACATGTGATGGTGGTGGAGCTGGTGCCACTCCCCTGGGATTAATCTAGCCCTGGGGGACACACAGGAGGAGCTGCTCCGACCCTTTCCTGACTTTGTTCAACCCAGTGGGCCTTGTTTACCTGGTTGTTTGTGCTCTAGAGAAACTGAACAACTCTCCCCCCATCTCAATCGAATGGTCAGGGACAGTCTACAGATCAGAGCTCCTGGAAGTTTCCCTGGCTTCCCTTCCCGCCGGGGCGGTTCCTCCTGCGGTTTAGTCCCAGCTGCATGCCTGGGTCTGATGGTCAGACTCTCAGCTTTGAAGAAAACTTTTCAGATGATTCAGCTGAACATGGCAGTGACAGTCACAGCGTGATGGACACAGGGGAGGACATTTCTGCTTCAGCCTTTGAAACTTTCACCCGTGGCTTTTATTATCTTCTTAGCACTAGTTGTATAAAAAAGGAAAAAAGCACAGAGGTCAGATAAGAGCTTGTTCCTGAAATGTGATTTTTAATGTTTTTATAAAAGACTATATTCATGGCAAGTTCTTTACCTTTGAGAGAAGGCTGTCTTTTTTTATGTCTGTCTTTCTCACTTTATCTCTCTCTTTATAACTTTTTTTTTTTAAGATTTATTTATTAATGCATACAAGAACCGGGGTACAGGCCAGATGCATGGGAGGGTGAGAGGATTCACCAGAGACAGAGCAGGGAACAGAAGAGGCAGACCAACTGAAATACACTGCTGAGGGGAGCACCGGGCAAGACAGGAGAGGTCTGCCGTGCCATGTGGGTAGCTCCCCGGCCGGCTGGGATCAAACCCGTGCTGCAGAGGCTGTGGACAGCTTCATAGTGCTGCGCTCAACCACCTGCGCCACCAAGGGAGGCCCTCTCTTTTTAACTTTTCCAAAACTGAATATAGGGATTTATTTCCAGACGGTTAAATGGGACCGCCATGAGACTTCTGCCATCTGACTTGGGATGGTCTTTGAGATTTCATCTTGCTAGGCATTCACAATTTGCTTCTTATTCCTTTTACTGAGGAGTAAAGCACTTCACTGACTCCTTGCTGATGTCACCCACCCTAGAATAATAAACTATGCATGTATTTTTAAATACTCTTTTGCCCAAATCAGTCTGCTCTTACTCTGTAGTAAGTTCAAAGATTGAAGCTCACTGCAGAATCTGAATTTGCTTTGCAAGTACCGGCAAATGAGAATTATTCTGTGCTGTTCGGGATCTCAAAGGGAAGTGAAATCCTTCAAAGAACTGACCATCTTGTTCTCCTCTGCCTGCCGGCTTAGCAGCGCAAGGGGTGAGCGCCCTAGAGGCGGACTTCCTTTGTTCATGTTTGCAGAGCAAACATGGGCTCTTCTGAGCTTTTTTAGCTCCCAGACAAGCCTTCTATGCTCTGCACGGGACCTTGCGAGGACTTCCTCGGTTCCCCAAATCCTGGGGAGGGCCGAGCACACTTGAACTTCCTCACCCATGTGGGGACAGGTTTTGCAGACTATTCCTCATCTCACTCGCATCGCATGTGGCTCAGTTGGGTGGACAGGACTTTATGTTACTTCCACTTTCACATGTGTTGAACACTATCTTGGGAGAGTCGTGGTGGCTCGGTCACCTGGCTTTGACTGCCGCGCACCTACCCCTGGCCGAACTGTGGGAGCTGGGGGCCCTGTGAGCTGCTCGTGACGACTGCAGTGGCCTGACTCCGCGGTCCGCATGTCCTTGATGAGGCTAGAACATCTTTCTGGGCATTCAGTAAGATAAGACTGTTCTCTCTCAGAAGTCAGAGGGGTGCATGGCAGGACACCATCCCTACACCCCTGGAAGTTCTGCTCCCAGGAGTGCACAAATTCCCTGAGGGGTTGTCATCTCTGCAAACAGAGCACAGAAGCCAGTTGCGCACCCGTGGGAGGCGTATCCAATGACCCATTATCTTTTGACTACTTTGCCTGCGTTTATTCTGGAATTACCATAGCCAAAGTAGTTCTTCATTGGCATCCCCTGTCCATACCACGCCCCCCACCCCCATGGAGTAATTACTCATTCCCTTCATTGTTAATGTGTCTGTTTCCCTCAATGGGGAAGCCTCTGCCTTTGGGGACTGTGTTACTTGCATTATCTCCTGGCATCCTCAGGAGAACTCAGTAAGGCAGCTACTGTGTCCCGCTTTAGGGGTGAATGGGTCTGGGCACAGAGCACTGGGTGCGGTGGGGGCACTGGGATCTGCTGATTTTCTGCCACGGTACCTGCCCCCCAAGCCCCTACAATACCCTCACGGCCTCTGTCTTTTCCGTGTCTCCAGCGCCTTGTGCACTGCTTGGCATGTAGGATGCTCGCAGTAAATGCTTTTTGAGGGTGTGAGTGAATAGTTCTAACAAGAAAACACATTTTAAGTATTGCAGCATAATTTTGAGATTACTCACCATCTTGATTGGCTTTTGTGTTGTTGGCACATCCTTGGTGACTAAAGAATTACTTCATTGGGAAGCATCTCTGATGAAGAGCCCATCATATTTATCCATTTCAAATCAGTTCTCTGCCAAGCAGAGTCGAGGTGTTTTTTGGCCTGAAGATGCTGATAGCCAGATGGACCAGCCCTGGAAGAAGAGCCTCCCCCCGCCTCGATGCTTCTGTCCTGCTTGCCTTCTCTTTCCTTGAAAGCTGAAGTGCTGATTGTTTATTAAGAATCTGCTTTTGGGGATCAGGACTGTGAGTCTAAAGTGCCTAAAGCCTGAAGTGATGACTTGGAGAAGCTTCTTGTTGTCCCTGAAAGTTATTATTGTGAGTGATTGTGAAGCCCGAAAACACTTGCAGGGGGTCGGGCACCCAAAGGCGTGCTGGCATTCAGAGAAAATTCTCTGGATCCATCAGGTCCAGCCCCTTAGTTTATAGATGAGGTGAGTGGCTGAGTGCTGGTGCTTCTCATCCTTAAATAAGACTTTCCAGGTGCCATTATACCTAGTCAGTGCTAACCAGAGGCGCTCTCTTACCCCTGTGCACGCGTGCACACACACCTCCTGCGCACACGGTCGCACCCCAGTTCCCCCTCATCACACACTCCAGAAAATGTTCACTTGTCACAGCCTTCAAAGCAGACCTGTTGTGACAGGAAAGTAAGATGGATGAAGTCCTTGCAGCAAGGTAGGTGGTGTGGTCGGAGGGTAGATGTTCTCAGCCTCCGCCTCTTGTGATGCTCACTGCTGTCTCCATCTGCTCTCGGCAGGTAGACATGCGTGCGTCCGTGTTAACTCACAGGAATGCCTAGTCTTTGTTTTATACATACCTGCCCCTGCGATATCTTTCTCATATTTACAAATTTCCACATTTTTCAAGCAGAGAGGCAATGTTTGGTCTTTTCTCAAATGGGAGGAGAAGGAGGTCCCCCCCCCCCGCTGGAATCTATGGTCCCCACTTTCCAGTCTCTCTCACCCACATTTGGAGCACTTGCATTGGAGTAGCCATGGAGTAGCCATTGGAGTAGCTGCACCTTGGCATCCCTGGTGGCGAGGGGTGGGAGGACACTTTAAAAAAATACCACTGCCTGCACCCCCAGATGTCCGGGGTGTGACTTGGGCATTAGGATTTTTAAAAGCTTCCCAGATGAGATTCTCATGGGTCAAGGATGCCGAGCAGTGTAATGTCAAACTATCAGCAGCTGGTAGACAGAAGTGTCAGCACAGGAGACCAGTGGAGTCCGTGGCCGTCTGATTGTTGGTGGGGAGTCTGTGGGCTCCTGTTTCATAAATATAAGAGCAGCCACTTTCTTTGCTGCTCTGTGTCCCTTGTGGAAGAATAGATCCTGATTTGAAGTAGATTAGATTTACATTAAATGGGAAAATCAGCCATGGAAGGTCAGTAAGTTTCTTTTTCTCTCAGCAGTTCCCTCATTCAGCAGATATGTAACAGGGTGGTCCCCAGGAAAGGGGGAGGTTCCCTGCCCCACCCAAGGGAGGGTGGAGCTGAGCAGGGAGAGGAGAAGAGGCAGAAGAGACTGAGGAAGGAGGAAGCAGGATGGAGCCAGGAGACCTGGAGGAGGCGCATGGAGCCTAGACACATGTGAAGAAACTGCCTTGTCTTTTGGTCGTGGACTGGGTGACACAGATGTAGGTGAGACCCGTGGGGAGGTGACAATGGCAGCTTTTATCTTGATGTTGATTTTGCTCTTTTCCTTCCGGGCTTGTCTGGTTGTTTCTGACCCTTTTCTGTGGGTCCCCACTGAGAAATGCTTTAGACTTGTGGCAGGCTTTGGGGCCTTGTTCTGGGCCGATCCCATATGGATGGACTTTTACCCACGAGGGGATGGGTCACTTTGGGTGCTTCATTTAAAAACTAGACTCTTTGCCTTACCTGTATTGTTTCCGAGTTTTATTAAAGTTCCTTCCCATTAAAGTCTCATATGTTTTGTGTTGATGCAGCGGATGGCAGAACCCATTTAAAATAGGCAGGTTTGCGGGGTTTGGGCTGCCCCTCTCCCTGTCCCATAACAGATACATGCCTCAGAAAAGTAAGAGGTGGGTGTTGCAGCTCTAGGAGAGAGTGTGGCATAAACCCTTGCTAGGCAGCTGGAGAACTAGGATCCGCAGTCACCAGGCAGTCTTACTGGTCGTGAGTCTTCACGGAGGGTCTCTTCTGCCCTTTCCATGGGTTTCCATTGATATGGAGACAGCAGATTTTATTTACATTTTTACGTAAAGAGTGAAACCTGAGGAAATTGGTTTTTTACCCCCTCCCAAGTAATAGGGTGAGGTTATGTAGGATTTCTACTTAGGAGCTGTTTGAAAGATTTTTTAGAAGAGTCATTATTAATTTAGTAATCGGAAGGAAAAGATAAATTGCATTTTGTTTTGATTCATGCTAGGTGTTACGGTTTATTATTAAATCAGTGTTTGAAGAACTTAGAAAGGAATTTATCAGAGCCTTCAAACTAACCCCCCCCCCCCAAAAGCAGCATGATTTAGGTTAGAAAGGGTCTTGTTTCATTTCCTGCATTTTTTCCTCCTTACTTCCTGTTCAGAGTATACCTCTAAGGCTTGGTTCAGTCACTGCCCCAGAATTATTTTTCTCTTCTGTTTTTGTTGATTTGCTTATGAAAATGCTTATGGTGACCCTTTGGAAATTTCTTATTTTCTAGGCAAATGCAATTACCATGATGCTGTTTTCCACCAGCTTCTCACTCCCTCCTCACACACAACATAAACGTCTTTAGTACACATGAAACTTTTGATTTTTTTCTTAGAGAATCATTTATGTATTAAAAATGTATATGAAGCACTATTTGTATGATACATTTATATGCACACTAATATTAAGAAAAATCAGAACTGTCCAGAGTAACAGTGAGCATTGTCGGTTCTTGACATAGCTTGTTGAAGTGTTAATACCTTCAGAAAAGGCTCAACTTTAGACAGGTTTGCATGTGTGAACTGCATTCGGGCCAATTTAAATGCAGTTTCCACTTTTATGGTTCCTGTTGACTTAGTTTCCTTCCGTCTTTACATAAATGCAAATGTACTCTTAGTGTTCTTTAGGGTGTTCTTGGCTGTTCTTCCCTCTCCCCTTAGGAGACTTGAAATTCTCCAAGTTGCTGTTCGTTGAGGTTTGTTTTCTGAGAACTTGCAGACTGTTCGCCACGTGTCTGTATAAAAGGATTCACTGAACTCCAAGAACCAAATGGCTGGTTCAGTGAATCCTTTACAAAAAAGGAAAGAGCAAAGTGGGGATCCTGCTCAGTGGGCTATGGGGGAAGACCGTCGGTACCTTGGCGGTGATGGGGGTGTTGTGGTAACATGTAACTGAGGGCTGTGATTTTATAACTCTAAATCATGTAGTGTTGTAAATGAATGTAGCCTTTATAATAAAAATAATAAAAGAGTTAAAAAAAAAAACAAAAACCTGAGTTGAAGATTCTTGAATTCCAGGGTACAGAGTGATGCAAATAGGATGCTTTAATTTTCTTCGAATTAGCATGCATCCAGAAGGTTTGGTGGGAGATTTCAATACTCTGAAAAATAGTGCAGTAGCACAGAAAGATCCCTACCACAGAGTTCACTGCAGCTCGGCCAGCACGCACCAGCCTCCTATGAGTTATCCACGTGGGGGCTCAGTCCTTTGTCTCCATCTGTTAAAAACCAGCCAGGAGTTTGGGGGCCCCTTCCCATTATAGTCTGCTTCATACTCCTAAAATGCCACTAAAATGACAGTGAGGAGAGAGAGAAAGAGAGTGTGTGTGTATTTAATGGCATGAACCCTTAGGGACGAGAAGAAAGGAGAGGCCACAGCAACAACTTTGGAAGTTGGAAGGCAGGTAGACCAGTAGTAAGGATTTAATAGACTCGGGAAAACTGTTCGTGTCCTAGCAGGAAAAACCAACAACCACCTTAATTTATATGCTGAATCTCCCAGAAGTTTAAGAATTAGCAATATCAGGTACTTTTGGAGATAAGAATAAATGTGGCATCTAAGTTGGGCTGAAAGCTACTTAAAAAGCCATTAGATGCTCAGATGCCCAAATCCCCGTTCCCATCCTGACAAAGAACTGGAGACTTGATAACCTCCAGAGAGGCTAAAACAGAGGGTCCCTCAGTTTGGGGGGACCTGGCTTAGATTAGGGTGTCTTCTGCCCCTTTTTCCTCCTTGGTTGCAGGATGCTTACATCCAGAACAGTCCTGTTCTGGAAGGAGATTTGCATAGACTTCTGACCAATCTGATCCAACAAACCAGACTTCTGGCCAGAATACCCTACAGTCCAGACCCTTCCAGTTAGCTAATTAGCATATGACCATGCGTCACATGGTGCTGCAGGTCAACACAAACAAGAAGCAACAACCTGGAAGAACAGACTATGCTAGGAGAAGAAAACTTAAAAGGACCATCACCTGTATTCCCAAGGGGAAAGAAGAAGGAGCACAAACCCGAAATAAGAAGTGAACATACGAAAATAAAGGGGGCTCTTGTTGGACAGTCAAAGTATATGATACAGAAAAGATCATTAGAAGAAGATCTGGGTAAAATTGGGGAAACCTCTTGGAAGGTACTGCAGGAAAATGGCGGGATGGAAGGAGGACCAGCATCCCTAGGTCACGTTCTCTGTTCTTCAGAAAGAGCGCGAATGCAGAAGGGAGGAAATCACCGCCATACCTCCCCTCCCCCAAAGAAAAGTTCCAGAACGGGACATGGACTTTCAGATTTTAAACACCCACTGAGTGATCGAGTAGACTTCCAGCAAGGCACACCAGTGTGAAATTTCTCAAACAGAAAAAGGCCTTTTCACTTCCAGAAAGAAATTAGTAGTCAGCTTTTACAAAGGTCGGGAATTGGAATGACTTCAGACACGACAGGCATGCTGGCTCCAGGAGGCTGTGGACAGCACCTTCACAATTCTGAGGACCATTATTTCCAGCCTAGAATTCTGTAAACCAGTCAAACTGTCAATGAGGTGAGGAGGAACAGAAACAACTGGAGACACAAGGTCCCAAGATCAGTTTTCCATCCCGCCTTCTCAGGAAGCTACTTGGAGAACGTTCTCCACTGAGTGACAAAAAGGGGGAGAGACTGGACTGAGTACAGGGATGCTCCCTCCTGCCTCCCTGAGGAGCACAGGCTCAGGGGGTACAAAGGGAAGCGGGGGCATCGCTGGGCAGCCTTGAGAAGATGGACTTGAGGGAGCACCTGGTGCCTGTGAATGCACGAGGGGAAGTGGAGAGGAGGGCCTGGTGTTGAGTTTCTCATTTTTCCCTGTAAAACTTGGTGGAAAATGGGGGAGGGATGCCTTTTTTAATTGTACAGTAGAATCAATTTACTCTAAACTGAGGACATAAAGGGCTGTGATACCAGTAAGCAGAAATGGGGACTGAAATAGTATCATCTGGTTCACAACAAACGTCGTCGTTGTGGGTTCGGATTTGTAGCTATGTTAAAGAGCGGGTCTGAGCCCAGGTCCCCTGTGAACTGTCTAAGAACCCTGCGAGTGCCCGTCTGAACTGCCTTTTCTCTTCCCTCTCCAGATTACCCTCTTGACTTGAACCACAGTGAAACCTTCCTACAAACCACAACCTTTCTCCCTGAAGACTTCACCTACTTCGCAAACCATACCTGCCCTGAAAGGCTCCCTTCCATGAGTGAGTATTCCCCTCGCTCGCACGCCTCGGCTTGGAGCTCTGGCTTCTAACTTGAGTAAAGTAAAAGGGAGCGTGTTCTTGATTCCAAAACCCTCCGACATTGGAGACCAGGATCATGGAGCCGCTATGGCCTCGCTCCTGCCCAGCCTGTCCACAGAGGCCTGTTTCCCACATTGCCCCTCTTTCCTTTGCACCTGCCCCCGCCGGTGTGATTTGGAGCCTATTAGGATGTCCTAGAGAAAGTCTCGGCAGACGGTTTTGTCTTTCAGTGTAAATCTCACACTGATTCTAACTTGTTTACTATGGAGAAGTTGGTTTCTTAACGGCGTGGTATTTAAAATTCTCACGTTTTCTTTCTCTATTTTTCCTTTTCTTTCCTGGAATGCCAGGTGTAATCTAAAGCAATGACAGTGAACAGCTACACTTTTTCTTTGCTGCTGGGCATTTAGATAGCTCCACTTCCTGAGTGAAGCAGCGATGACGCATGTCTGCAGCTCAGACGTCACAGTCAGGGTCGCTGATAAGTTGGTTGGAACACCCTGTCTATACTTGCCTCGACTGCCCAGGCCAGGCCCTGGGCAGCTGCTCTCTGCCTTCCCCTCTGGATTCAGCTGCTGTTTTACTTAGTCCCCATTTCTTTCTGCAGCCTTGGCAAAAATGAAGCTCAAGTCTTGGTTTCTTGATTTGCTGCTTTACCCAGTAACAGTGATAAACTGAACTGCAGTGAGCTGGAAAGCAGGGGAGGGGGCCCCCACCCACAGCCACTGGCAAAGATTGAACTGCTCCAGCAGCCACTACCCTGGACATAAAGAAAGGAGTCATCGTTTTCTGGCCTTTAACTCTTTTTCCCCTCCTATCTCTGCTCAGAGGGCCCAATAGATATAAACATGAGTGAAATCGGAATGGATGACATTCATGAACTCTTCTCCAAAGACCCAGCCATCAAGCTTGGCGGTCACTGGAAGCCTTCTGACTGCCTGCCTCGCTGGAAGGTAGGGTGTGGGGTCGGACGGACCCCAGGTGCTGGGCAGCCTGCCGGGCACTGGCTATCATTCCCAGCCACTGTGGGATTCTGAGGCGGGTGGGACTCCAGCACCAACATGGCACTTTCTGATTTGTCCTGCCTGGTGCAGTGAGTGCATTTGAGGGGAGCATTTCGGAGGAGTGGGCTTCTCTAAGGACTCTTCACGGCCACAGACATTTGCATCATTCTGATGAGAGTAGGAGGCTTTTGTTGTCCTTGCAGGAATATTGGCTCAAGAAGGCCAGGGGTGGGGGGGTGGTAGGTCTCCCACGACACATTTGCAGGAGCCAACTTCATAAATTCCATGCTTCGTGCCCTGTTTGCCACTGAGTTTGGCAGAGTGGAAAGTGGCATTGTCTAGCCTCACACCTAATTGTTTCATGTTCCCATGTGTGACTGTAATCAGGAAGCATTGCTGGTGTGGATCAAGCTTTTAGCAATGACTGAAGCCCAATATTCCAGCAAGTCTTTATTGACATGCTTGTTTTGTACCAGCCTGCGAGATGCTGTGGACAGCAATGATGATAGCAGATCTGGGACAACAGATCTAGGGCAGCCACTACCAGGATAGAAAGTCATTGTAGTGACCAACGTTAGGAAATAAACATCTATAGGCACCCCTCAGAGAGGCTGTGGGCTGGTTCCCGAATACCCCAATAAAGCGAGTATCACGGTAGAGCAAGTCACGCGGATTTTTGGTTTCTCAGTGCATAACAGAGTTATGTTTACACTACACTGTCATCTGTTAACTGTGCTGCAGGGGCAGCCTGTCCAAATAAACAGCGTAGGTGTCCTAATTAAATGGGACACAGGGACAGGAAGTGAGCTCATGCTGTTGGGAGAATGGTGCCGATGGCCTTGCTTCGTGTGGGTGGCCGCAGACCTTGCGTCTATACAGAGCACAGCACCTGTGAAGTGCAGTTAGACCAGGTAGGCCTGTCTGTCACAGAGGAAGTGCTGAGGGTGAAGCTTACTTCTGTTGTGTGGATGGGTACGATGCCTGGTTCTCTGGATACATCCATCCTGTATCTGGATATTTGTGTTCTGGGTAGCAGTGTCAAAGGTCTGTCTCTCGTTGTGGTCTAGAGTGATTGCGTGTGGCAGGCCCACTGTGTGCAAGGCGTGGTGCGTGGCAGGCCCACTGTGTGCAAGGCGTGGTGCGTGGCAGAACCAAGCCCATTTACATCCAGATCAACTTGCCCACACAGGCCTTCATTTAGAGGAAGCCGGGACCAGGCAGCCTGAACCCCCCAGCAGCTGATAGCCCATTTTGCAGGACTGTCTTGCTACAAAGCAAACACTGAGGGGACTAATCTGGTGACTTCTTGTCTGTGATCTCCCCCAGGTGGCGATCCTCGTCCCCTTCCGGAACCGCCACGAGCACCTCCCTGTCCTGCTCAGACACCTGATCCCCATGCTTCAGCGCCAGCGCCTGCGGTTTGCGTTTTATGTGGTGGAGCAGGTGAGTGGCTCTTTCTTCCCTCTTTCTCTTCTGAGACAGCAGTTTCGAATGTTTCAAGCTAATCCATCTTGGGTGTGAAGAGCCAAACTGGAACCTTACAACTGAGTCACCCCAGGTGGGAAGAGAAGCAGAGAGCATTTTTGGTTCATGGTTTGAGATGCTGCTCAAGATTGGTAGATTCTCACCCAGGATGGAACTTTTTTTTTTTTCCACCTGTGGACAAAGGCCTCTTGTATGTTGCTTTTGCTAGTGCTATGTGGATGGTGTCGTTAGGCTCTAGACCCAGGAAATTCCCCATAAGATAAGGAGCTGTGAGTCATGTAACATGGTGTTCTTTCTCCCCGACGGGGCTGGGCTCTCTTCTGCGTGCTGCTGTGTGACCTAACATCTGCCTTTATGATAGCCTTGGAGAGAGGAGCTTGGCCTTATCTTTGTCACCCCTCTTATTTCTAAAGAAATTGAGTCCAGAGGTCAAGTGACTTGAAGTCTGTGGTGAGTGGCGCTGGGCTGATCTCGCTCTGGCCCAGTGATCTCACGCCAACGGTTTCAGTAGCTCTGCTTCAGGCAAGGCGAAGGTGGCCAAGATGTTGCTTCAAATGAACCTCTAAAAATAAGTTCTACTTCTTTTAGGTTGGCACCCAACCCTTTAACCGAGCCATGCTTTTCAATGTTGGGTTTCAAGAAGCCATGAAAGACCTGGACTGGGACTGTCTGATTTTTCATGATGTGGATCATATACCAGAAAGTGACCGTAACTATTACGGCTGTGGACAGATGCCAAGGCACTTTGCAACTAAATTGGATAAGTATATGTATCTGTGAGTATCATCTATTCCTAATTAAAGAGGTTAAGTCCTAACGGATAGTGAGAGATGCGAAGATGGCCAAATCCAATTAGCTCTGACCCAGATGGCCGCCAGCTGAAGGAGGGATAGACACAATGTAGTTTGTCCATACAATGGAATATTATTTGGCAATAAAAAACAATCAGGTGTTGACATATGTGACAACCTGGATTAATCTTGAAAACTTTATGCTAAAAACTCTTTCTCTAGTCATGAAAGACCACTTAAAAAGTATGATTCCGTTGATATCAAATGTCTAGAATAGATAAATCTATAGGGATAGAAGTAAACATAGTAGTTCTGCAAGGTTGAGGTTACAGGAGAAGTGGGGAGTCACTGCTAATGGGCATGAGGCTGCTTTTGAGGGGTGATGAATTGTATTAAAATTGATTGCAGTCATGTTTGCACAACTCCATGAATATACTAAAAACCATTGAATTACACACTTTTAAGTGGATGAATTGTTTGTCAGTTATGTGTCAATAAAGCTATTAAAAAATCTATTAGAAGAGGGCCTCCCCTGGTGGCACAGCAGTTGAGCACTGGGCTGCAAAGCTGCCCGCAGCCTCTGCAGCACCCGTTCGTTCCCTGGCCGCCAGCGAGGGTCCCACATGGCGCGCAGACCTTTCCTGCCGTGCCTGCTGCTCCCTTCAGCAGTGTACTTTGGTCCTTCTGCCTGTTCTGCTCCCCGCTCTGGCTCCCGTGAATTCTCTTACCCTCCCATGCTTCTGACTGTACCCAGTGCTTGTATAACTAACTAACTAACTAACTAAATAAATAAATAAATCTTAAAATAAAATAAAAATTTAAAAAAATCTATTAGAAGAAAGTTGAATTACTGCTCAGGTCGCATGGGGAAGCCATTTCAGATGGTTCAGATAGTAGCACACAGATCTATTTTCCTTAAGACTTAGTTCTCCAATAAAGATGAATGCCTGTTTTGGTTTTTTTTTTTTTTGTGGGGGGCAGGGGGAGTGGGGGGGTTCATCCTTAATACACGGATGACGGATGCTATACATCTCTTCTCAGGCTTCCTTATGCCGAGTTCTTTGGCGGAGTGAGTGGCCTGACAGTGGAACAGTTTCGGAAAATCAATGGCTTTCCTAATGCTTTCTGGGGTTGGGGTGGTGAAGATGACGACCTGTGGAACAGGTACTGTTTACCGTATCCTCTGGTCACGTCTGAAATATTTCTGTAGATTTATTCCTAGTTGTGCAGCCGCAGAGACAAGAAGTAATTGCACTTTTAAATGTTGATAGTTCTTGCCAAATTTTCCTTCAAAAACTGATTGCAAAAAGATCCCCTCCCCAACGTGCTGTTAGCATTTTCTTAAACTATCACCAACATTACATAAGATCAGCCTTTTACACGGTTGCTGCACCGCACCCTGCGGTAGCCACACTTGGCTTGTGGCCACGGCATTGGACAGAGCAGTGCCAGACAATTCTTTCTTAATCTGATGGGTAAAAATGGCATCTCACCCTTTTCATTGGGATTCTTAGGAGCCAGATGAGGATGAACAGCTTCTCCATACACTCTTTTCGGGTCCTTGAATCCACTTGCCCTCTCCCAGGACACCTCACAGCCCAGCCAGGGGGGACCACGGGGAGTCAGGGGCTATGACTGGTTTCCCAGACCCCACACGTTTCCAGGCACACAGTAAGCATTTTACATATATATGTTATATATAAGACGAGTTAAATTTGGACTCTAGGGGAGGATGTTGAAATAATATTCTCCCACATTTTTAAAATAAAACCCACTATAAACTTTACTTAGGGTTAGGGTTAGGTCTTATTTCTTAGGGCCCTGTCCAGTTTCCAGCAAACCTGGGTAAATTTTCAACATGTTCAGAACAAACCTCTTACAACTCCAAATTCTGGGAAGCCCATGGCTCTAGCTGCTCACTTTCTTCATAGTCAGCGTGAGGGACAGGCGCTTCCATCAGGGAGAAGTGTTTTCGATAGGCCCGGCAGGTGACAGAGCAGGGTCACTCCCCTGCATCAGACCTTGGTCTCAAGAATTTTTGTATTTCTTTTTTCTCAAGGCCTTAGATATTACAGGTTTCTTTTCTAAAACTCTGAATTTATCCAGACAACAGGCAATTTGAATAGGTGCAGTTGTTCTTAGCTCTTCCATCGCTTCTGCTGAGATCCCAAACACGATGTCCCAAACATCCCTTAGAGTAGCGTGAGAATGGCTTTAAAGTGATCTTAGCTACGATCCCAAGGGCAGGCAGCAAAAAGGGCTGAATCATGCGCAGCTGCCGGGTGGGGACGTCGGCTGCTCTAGTGCAAATGGAGCGGAACAGGCCTCGGAGGTGGTCACTCAGCCCCAAGCCCCCAGAAGGCAGTGTACGTCGCCCATTGGGTTTCGTAGTTAGAATCTTGATTAAGTTAGCGGCTGAGTCAAAACTGCCCTGGGGTGAGTTGGGAAGGCTCTGGCTGCACTTCTTGGTGAGCGTGAGCCTGCGTGTGCTGTCAGGGCATGGCCCTCTGCGGGACTTGATCTCTCTCCCTTTGTCCCGGACAGAGTACAGAACGCAGGCTATTCTGTGAGCCGGCCGGAGGGTGACACAGGGAAATACAAGTCCATCCCTCATCACCATCGAGGGGAAGTCCAGTTTCTCGGAAGGTTGGTGCATCTGTTCACTCCTCTTGCAAATGTCTCTGTGCATTTCCAGGTGTCCTAGAGATGGTACAGCCCTGACTCCAGCCCCTGCCCACTCCAAGGTCCTGCTCTAGAAACTCTTTTATTTTTTTCGTGGAGAGGGTAGACATTTGGGGTGAAATTAGACCACTGGTGAAAAACTTGATCATTAAGATCTTTTACGGAACACTCTATGTGAGCCTTTATAGTCTTCTGCAGCCTGTATTAGAGGAAAGTCCTCTTGGATAAAAGTGCTGTGACTTGCATTGACAGGACCAGACAGTGTTGGTACCGTCCTGCAAACTCTGGTTCTGGAACAGGGTCCCTGTGCTCCTGTCTGTGCAGCTGCGGTTGCCTTCTTGCCCTCTCGATAAGTGAGGACCAGTCCAGGGACGAGCCTGCCTCTGCGGGAATGTGGCTCTTTCTGTCTTTTGCGCGGGGGAGCTTGGGGGAGACTGTTCTCTCAACAGTTGCTTCTGATGACCTGGGCCCTGTCTTCCAGGAGAGGCGCATAGACCCTGACGTCCTCGCCCGACCTGTTCTCTTACCTGCCACTCACCCACCTCGGACTTGTCCTCTAGCCTCGCCAGCCTCTCGTTCCTTGTTGGTTCACATGAAATGAAATAATAAGTAAAGTGCCTGGCATGGGGCAGGAGTTCGTAATAATAACAGCGTTTGACCAGGAGTAGCTGGATGGGCCAGTTGCCATCCCCTGGCCCAGAAGCGCCACCTTGGGTGGGGCCTATGTGTCTCGGCACCGTCCTGTCTGCCCTGAGCTCAGACTTCACTCAGGGCCACCCCTCTGTTCTCTGCTTAAACAGGTATGCGCTGCTGAGGAAGTCCAAGGAACGGCAAGGGGTGGACGGCCTCAACAACTTGAACTACTTTGCAAACGTCACGTACGACGCCTTGTATAAAAACATTACCGTCAACTTGACACCCGAGCTGGCTCAGGTGACCGAGTACTGAGATGGGGAGAGGGTGTGTGTCCACTTTGCCCACCGCCACCCAGAAAGCAGCCTGATGAGGGGTCGTGGGGCTCTCCCCAGGAGGAAAATGGAAATACAGCGTCTAATGAAGGATCACAGGGTTCAAGGGGCAAATGTGAAGCATACACGCACAAGACGCCTGGCCCGCCGGGCCCGGGCCCAGGAGTGAGCTCGGGAATGTCCCCATCAGGACTGGCTTTCTACTTTCACGAGACGGACGTCGTCCTGCTGCTCTGTTCCCACCGTCTCCGGCCCCAGTGTCCCATCTCAGCCACCACCTTCAGCCCAGACCCGGGGTCTGCCGCGGTCCTGCCGCGGGGGCTTCTTGGCCTCAGGGCGAAGAGGCAGACCCACCACAGGGCAGCTGTGTTTCAGGAAAAGCAGATGAAACTCCACGCACCATTCGTCTACATCTTGGTGTTCCACATCTTTGGTTTCATTTAAAACAAACAAAATTACCTGCTTTGGGTGGGGATGGAGGGTGGAGCGGGAGGGACTGGGGAAGATACATAGACACATAACAATCACTTCTTGAAGAAGTATAATTGTAAATAAGCCATGTAAAATGCCTTTTTTAAATTTAATTTTATAGCTGGCTCCAATTCAAACTGAGGATTTATACATTAGATCACTTGCGTTTGGTTGGCAAATTCAGGAACTCAGTTAAAACACAACAGAAGAACATCATCTCCACCACTGCTGTCACTTTGGAAGGGAGTGGAGTGCGGAACGTGTCTCGCAAGAAGAGAGGGGCCCGGTCTGCGTCCTTGGCACCGCCTCGCCCCTCCTCCAGCCCCTCTCCTGGAGTCTTCTTGACTCTGCTCCGGACTCCCCTCCCTCCCTGCTGGGCGCAGGCTCTGTGACCCCAGCCCTTTGCTGAAAGGAGGCTGCTGCTTTCCAGCTCGCTGCCCTCCCGCTTGAAGCAGACTCCCCGGGGGGCTCACCGCACACACCCCTGGGTCATTGGACTTGATTTATTTTTTTGTCCTGTCATCTTTATGAAGACAGGAGCTCTTGGTTTCTTCTTTCTTTTTCTCTTTCCCCCTTATGGAACTCGGCCACACTCTCCAAAACCTGTGCCTAAATTACCAACTGGCTTCATTGATTCCTAGAAATAGTCTTTGTTGACATTATCAGTTCTACATAGAAATAGTGAGCAATTGAATCATGAAGAATGAAGCTGGGGGCCAGCGTGCCGTGGCCGCCGGGAGCCGGGTGAGACAGATCAGCCGGGAGGCGACCGGGCCGTGGGCCGTGGGAGCTGAGTGCTCCGCTCACGCCCCCGTGTGCTTTTTGAAGTCACATTCTAAACGAAACTGCATTTGAATTTGTGCCTGTTTTTCCTTAAGACAGTTCCCTTCATGCAGCGTCCCTCTTGGCTTCTGCCGAATTCTGGAAAAAAAAAAAAAAAGCCAGTTTTTTTTCCTCCTCCATAAAACATATTTATATATTGTGATTAGGAGGACTTTCTGAAGAGTACTTCATATTTTTTTTAATTGCCTTGTTTGCCTTCGACTTTCTTAATTTCATGGTTTACATGGATGCGTGTGCAGCGGGTATTTGTGTATATGTGTGTGGGTTGGGGTTTTTTCCGCTGCATGTGTTGGTTCCGTGGACATATGATCCCCACGAGCTGTGGGAGTGATTGGCCAGGCCCTATTTGTTGTTTCTGTTTTTGTTCTTTTGAAGAGTAGAATGGTATTTAGAAAACCAGTTACCTTGCAAAGCTCTTATCAGCTCATATGAGAGAGCAGGCTCCTGCCCTTGAAAATGCTGGTAAGTTGTATCATAGGTTTTAAAAGAATCTTGAGCATTTCATGCTTTAAAGGACCTCCATGGGGAACAGCACACACACAAGCTCATTGGTTTCCTTGGATGTATGGTGCACGAAGCAATAACCCTCCCCGCCCACCCTGCCTCAGCTGGCCCTGTCATTGTCCTGTCCTCTCGTCACTGAAGGCTGGGGCCTGCTCTCAGCGTGACGCAACTCTCATTGGCAAGAGTTTGCAGACCGAGTTCTGGTTACAGGTGATAGGTTATAGGAAATTGCTGCTGCGTGGTCTCATTTGATGCTTTTTATTAACATTTACCACTAAGGATGAGATGTCGGCCAAAGGTTCAGCCGATTCTAAGGAGAAAATGCTGATTTGAGGCCAAAAGCAAAGCGCTCTCTGCTGCTTGAAGAAGTAGGGTCCCATAAATAAGTTCATCGTCAGCGTGAAATGCAGTAACGTGCACTGTTTGTTACCCACCAAGCTGGGTATCGTGTGAGAAATATCAACATTAAAAACACAACCAGGCCCTTGTGCTATTAATAGCGTGAAATTCTCACGTTAAAGGCAAGAAAAGGAATAATAAGAACCAAATGTGACCTTGTGCGTATTTGGGCGGCAGAAATTCGTTGAGGCTACTGCTGGTTGACCCTTCAGGCAATCTCGGCTTTGATTGCTGTGTGCAGGGCCAAGTGTCTCGTTTCAGCCTATTTCTTGGGGAAGAGAGTTATTTGCAAAAATACTCATTTTGACATTACAGGGACTCTTGTTAGAGCTCCTCTACCACAGACACGAATAGCTGAGCCACAGCCGTACGTACTGATGCATCCACGATCTCTTCGATGATGGCACTGAACGTAGCTAGCTTACTCCCATCACTACGTTTGTTTTGAGCTTGGTATTATGTTTTAAGAGGTGCCTGGGGTACATTTTTGCACTGAAATCAAAATGTTTTAAAAAACACTTTTCACAGGAATAGTCCTTTGTCATTACATTATTTCTCATGTGTTTGTACATTTTTGTATGTTAATTTATGAATGATTTTTTCAGTAAAAAATACATACTCAAGAACCAAACCTTGGTGGTCGCCTCTGTCTGGTACAGTTTGACTTCTTTGACTTCTTGGGGTCTTTCCTTTCTCGTGGGAGTTCAGGTCCTGGGCGGTCCCTCCGAGCAGCTTCTACTTTGCCCTGACCTCGGGTGGTTCCTGAGAGGATGCGAGCCACCCGGCCCCACAACCAGGCCAGCGAGTGGACAGCTCAGCCGGCGTCACTGAAGCACTGAAACCCACTGTGCATCCACCCACACTTGGGTTTTCTCTCAAGAGTTGGTCCAGGCGATGCCCCTTGAGTTGAATAAGATGCCTGGGCAAGGGGAGGGTGAGTGTCAGCAGTGGCTCGAGAAGGTCATCTGGGGCTATTCCAGAGTTTGCTGTCTGCCTGATCCAGATTTTTACTGAGCTTGAGTTTCTGTGCCCAGTTGCTACGGGTGTTCGTGAAATGAGACAAGGTCAGTGGCCTCATAAAGCTGACTGTCCTTTTCTCCGCTCACCTCTTCCACCTCCGTCAGGGTGAGATTAAGATTTCAACCATAAGTGCTGTAGAGAAGAGCCTGCAGGCGACGGGCGAGTCCCTGCAGGTGGTGGGTGAGCTGAGGGGAGACTCGCCAGGGCACCTGGTGAGCTGCTGGAACAGAAAGCCAGTAAGGCTGGAACAGGGCAAAGTGGCACGGGGCCCCTGCCAGGCTGTGGAGATGGACAGGGCAGTGCAGGGCCTTGTAAGCCAAGGTGAGTGGGTTTTATCCTCGGAGCCATGAGCTCCCGCTTGCACGGGTGGCAGCGCGCTCCCTGAGGTGGGCACACTGAACCCGCACCAGGTTCTTGGGGAAGGCTCTGCTGTCACCGGTGAACACGTTAAATTCAGGGAATTTGGGGAAAACCAAGCAGTTGTCCACATTCTGGGTTGAGGACTCAAAGGGATGGTGAGGACCATGGTAGATCTGCAAGTATTGGGGTGCAGGAGATAAGGGAAGATACATTGGCGGGGTGGGGGTATGATGCACAGACCGGAGAGCACAGAGAGAAGGTGGCCTCCGGGAACTCTATTTGAAATAGTTGAGAAGGGGGATGGGGGTGGGCAGGTGGCCAGAAGGGGTGGAGGAGAACAGGAGTGAACAGGACAAAAATGTCAAGAAAAATGACCAAAGAGATGGCCAACTGCAAATGAGCAGAGGAGTGGCCAGCAGGGTGAGGGCTCTGGTCACGAGAAGGGCCTCAGTGCTGAGTGGGTGGGAAAAAAAACTGAGGGCCTCCCTGGTGGCGCAAGTGGTTCAGACGTAGCTACAAAGCTGTCTGCAGCCACTGCTGACTCTCAGGACAGCAGACCTCTCCTGTCATGCCTGCTGCTCCCCTCAGCTGCTCCCCTCATGCCTGCTGCCTGTTCTGCTCCCCACTCTGATGACTCCTCTCACCTCCCCCCACCCCCGAATCTCTTGCCTGCACCCCTGCTCTTGTATGCATAAATAAATCTTTTTTTCTAAAGATTATTTATACAAGAACTGGGGTACAGGCCAGATGCGCAGGAGAGTGAGAGGATCCACCAGAGACGGAGCGGGCAACAGAACAGGCAGACTGACTGAAATACACTGTTGAGGGGAGCAGCAGACACGACAAGGCAGGTCTGCCTCGCCATGTGCTGGTCAACCTCGCAGGCCAGCTGGGATTGAACCAGCGCTGCAGAGGCTGCAGACAGCTTTACAGCGCTGCGCTCAACCGCCTGCGCCACCAGGGGAGGCCCAATAAATAAATCTTTAAAAAAAAAAAAAAAGAAACTGCATAGGCCAAGAAAGGAGGAAATGACGTATCCGTGAGAGGAGGCGATGCTTGAGTTTCACAGGGAGAGGTTAAGAGAAGGCTGGTCACTGAGCAAGACTGTGAAACCCAGGGAGGGCTTGGGGTTGGGTTCCCCATAAGAGGAAGCTGTGTGTGGTTTCCAATTGCAGGGAGATGTCCAGCAGAAAGAGCTGAGTACACGACAGCCAAGGAATAATCAGAAACCCAACAGCCCAGGAGGAATTAGGGGCTCTCCACCTGCCCTTCTCACCATCCTCACACGACCAGTGTTGCTAAAATCTCGTCTCCCTTCCAGCAGGTCCCCTGAACTGGATTTCCGTGCCCTCAATTCCCGGTACTACCGCTTCCTCCCCACTCAAAATTTTGTTTAAATTTGGAGAAGTCCAATCCTAAAAATAGTAGTTCCCACTTACTGAGCACTCGTTCTGTGCCTGTGGCTGTGCTGACAGAGCCTCCACTCCCCAGGCGGGCTGCACTCCAGGAAAAACCTCACCCCTTTCTCCAGACCACGGTTCTCAGCCTCTTACTCAGGAGGCTGGCTAATACCTGGTCCCGGGATGGGTTGAGATCCTGTGAGTGTGACCTTGGCCTCCACCCCCGAGATGTCAGCAGCCGCGCCCCTGTCCCTCCTTGTTTGACAACCAAAATTATCCAGACAAGTGGTTAAGGCAAAACTATGAAGCTGTCCACAGCCACTGCTGACCCGCTGCTGGCCAGATGACCCTGTGGCCAGAACAGTCACCCTGCTCTGCACCTAGGAAGGAAGCCACCTCTTGCCTGAGGTCACGAAACTTACACGCAGAGGCAGCTGGGATGTGCACACCAAGGTAAAGGCTCTGAACCCCAGGCTACCTATGATCTCGCTTTTTTACACATGTGCTATTCTATAACTTTTGTCCACCGACACAATTCACAAGTATTTTTATTATAAAAGTAATACACAAGCACATGATCACTGACAAAAAGTTAAATCTCCCATCTAATGTCAGCAGTTTGGCTAGTGTCTGTACGTGTACCTACATACCTACATGTGTATGTAGGGAAATAGGTACATGCATGTTTTTAAAAAAACCCATAAATTGTAATTACTCCTGATCTTTTGCCTTAGGGTTTCTGGTAGACCTCTTATCTGTCATTAGCTTCCTCAGATGAAAATCACCAGGGGTTGGGGGGAGATTGCCTGTGGCCCTGCCATGCTGCTGCTGTGTATACATCCCAAAGAGTTGAAAACAGAGTCTCCAAGAGATATTTGCACACCCATGTGTTCAAAGCTTTATTCACAATAACCAGAAGGTAAAAGTCACCCAAGTATCTATTGATGCATGCATGAATGGCCCATACAAGGGGGTACACATAATGGGGTATTCTTCAGTCTTGAAAAGGAAGGGTATTCTGACATAGGCTGCACCATGGATGACAAAGTGACATGTCAGTCACAAAAAGAAACGCTGCAGACTTTATTTGTATGAAGTACCTAGAGGAGTCAAATCATAAAAAGTAGAATGGTGGTGTGAGGGATTGGCGGGGAGGGGAAATGGAGCAGTGGTGTTCAACGAACGTAGAATTTCATGTTTGTAAGTGAGAAAGTTCTGGAGATTAGCCGCACAACAGCCTACTTCACGCGATCCAACTATAATTTGGTGGAGGGGGTGGTGTGGTGACATCCATTTGAGGATGTGAGAACCTGTTTTCTTAACTCATACACGGTATTGTTGACCAATGCTAACCTCAAAAAAAAAAAAAAAAAACCCAAAAGTGACAGGAAACAAAACAGTACTGACTGGCGCATATAAAAATAGTTAAGATAGTAAATATGACGTGTGCTTCATCACAATTAAAAGTCATGACATTCTGGGCCTCCCTGGTGGCACAGGGGTTAAAGTCTCAGCACTATCAAGCTATTGTCAGCATGAGTTCGTTCCCCAGCCAGGGAGCTGACTCACACGGTGAGGCAGACCTCTCCTGTCTCGTCCGCTGCTCCCCTCAGCAGTGGATTTCAGTCAATCTGCCTGTTCTGTTCTCTGTCTCTGGTGAATCCTCTTATCCCTTGCACCTCTGGCCTACACCCCAGTTCTTGTATGCATAAATTAATAAAAATAAATAAGTAAATAAAAAAAATAATGACTTCCTACTCAACAACCCTCTCCAATAGGAACCGGCATGATGGTCACTATACAGCTCAGTGACCCCTGACATCACGGGCTCTGTTTAAATATTTGTTGAATTAATTCTTAAATTATCTTAAAAACCAAAAACCCGTTTTATTTCCATTCTGGTTTTGTGCATCTGTTCAGGCAGGATGTCAAACATCGTGTCCCATTGCTCCACTCCTGGTTGGTGCCTCTCTTTCACCACATGCCAGGATCAGAGAAGGTACAGTTGAGCGTTGTCATCAGCATGTCCTTCCTGTGGGTGCCCGTCTCTGCCGGTTGGGCTCTTTTCTCATATTCCGTGTGACCAGACTTCTCTGTTGCTATTTCCTTTGTGTTGACAGAGCCTGGCTTGTTGGCCCATTTTCCTCTTGATTTCCTTCCGTGTCACTGCTGAGATGCGTTGCACAGTGATGAACCCAGCCAGGACACACTGTTGGTTTAATTTTTTCTTGGGCTCCTTGTTCTGTGATCCTCTTTCACCATTGATAGTCCTATTAATTTTCAGCCTGATTCAGGAGCTGGGAACTGTGGGCCGGCAGCTGTCTGTTTTTGTCAATAAAGTTTTATCGAAACATAGCCACGCCCATTCATTTTCCTCTTGTCTGTTTCCAGTTACAATGGCCAAACTGAGGAGGGGAGGAGCTGTGATACAGATAAAGGATCTCAAAGTCTAAGATAATTTACTATCTGACCCTGAAATAGGTGGCCATCCAGTTCTTTGTAATTTTTCTCCACATCGCCAGACAAATCTACTTGTTCATTTATTGGCTCAATATCTATTCTTCCTCATCTACACCGTAAATTTCTAGAGGCAAGAGTCAGCTCTCCTCATCCTCCACAGCAGTGTCTGCAGAAGATGGTGCTGAAGGGGCCTCTTTGGTGGTGCAGGGGTTAAAGACAGTGCTGTCAAGCTATCACCAGCCACTGCAGCATGAGTTTGACCCCAAGCCAGGGAGCTGACCCACATGGCACAGCAGACCTCTCCTGTTTCGCTCGCTGCTCCCCTCAGCAGTGTATTTCAGTAGATCCACCTGTTCTGTCCCCGCTCTGTCTCTGGTGAATCCTCTAGCCCCTCGCACCTCTGGTCTATACCCCAGTTTTTGCATGC